ATAAGAAGTAAAGATTTGCTGATTTTTTATAAAAACTTTGTATTGTGGTACAGTCTGCATAAAGTATTCACACTTGTAGGGTACTATAGTCAGGTCACTACAGCATCTCTATAATGTCCAAAACTTTCTCTAAAACTGCTTATTCTGTTTACTCCTAATTTTGCTCCTGTTGCTAAATTCTATTTTTCTGTACAAGAAGTATAATAAGAGTTGTTTCTTATCATTCTGTCCTGTTATTTTATCTTAAATTCACTCCATTAAATTTTTATTTGTTCAGGAAGAAATATTGGCGAGCCTTCTACATGCTGGGGCAAACGTCAACCTGCCTGAAAAAGATCCATTTTCCCTGCCCTTATTGTGCGGTATGTCACCCTTATAATTGCTCCAGCTTTAGTTAGGAAGACATTTGAGGAGTTTTTATCAATGTTATATACAATCTAAACAAGAAATTCTTGATGATTTTAGCACGGGGAGTACCGTGCTAAAATTTGCCTAATGGTCAGATTTAAGAGAACAAAATTCGGGAGACGAGTCTCATCTTGAAGAGGCTACTTCTATTGCTTAAAGAATGCTTTTTTGTTTTTTTGAATTATCATTCAATTATTCTTGGCTTGTGCCTTTTTTTAGGACAAATAAGAATTAGAGCAGAACTTTGCGCTCTACAGTGAAAACAGCACATTATTAGATGCCAATTTTCCAGCCTTGGAGAGACGCTGGTGGCGAGGAGCTGAGCTAATGCTGGACGCAGGGGCGGACGCCACAGCAAGGGATTCTGAGCATAATAAGCTTCGAGCCACATTCTTTGCTCGGGTGCGCGCAGCTTTTGATTCAGTGAAATATAAACATCTAAATTTGCGGTTGCGTAATAAATTGTCAACGATTATTAAAAAAATTTTAGTGTACCCATATACAAGTATGAATAATGATTCATTTTGTGTTGTAGATTTTGTAATGTGAAGTTGCTACTTACTTCCCCGTTTGCGTTTGACCTGTCACAAAACTCAACGATCATTACTTTCAAATTTTCAAAACTATATCAAATTCTCAATTAATTGCCTATATTTCTTTAGTTGTTGGGATTTCCTTAAAATCCTTTTGTCTAAGATTTGTATATGTGATTTTAATTCAGATGTTAAGGAAACACTGTAAACTCAGTTGTGAGCTTAGTTGAGCTTAAGCATTTATTATGAATATTTATGTATTTTCAGGATAATGTCGAAATGCTGAGGAAACTTTTGAGTAGAGGATGTCGCTGCCATTACCTTGAAGATTGGATAGCTGGTAGAAGTCTAACAGAAGCCCAGTTGAAGACCATATTGCCGCCGTACATATTGTCTAACCCTAAGGGTTATGTGTGAGTACTATAGCTGCAAAGACCTAACAAAACCAGCTTATGTGGATATTTTGAATTACTCTATACCTAAAGTATTTGAATTAGCGAGTGATAAGTCCATATTCATAATGAAATAAATACTTCATTAATGAAATGCGATGTAAGGTTCGATTTTCCATAACGGGTTCTATTTCTGGTACCTAGGCTGGATGTTCTGCTTGCTGCTGCCTCGGTATCGTACCACGAGAGCGCTCTGTACATTCTGGAGCATTGCGTGGTTGACGAGATGGATCAATTTGAGAGCATAATCTGCGATATCTTTGAACTTAATAATGGAATCAACTGGGCAGATAAGAACAAGTCAGATTTGTTGAATAGATCCTGCATCTACTTAATACAAAGTTTCCTTGTTGGCATTTGCTGTGTTTGCATAGAGACAATTAACTTTTCTACAATTAATTCTGTTGAGAAATTTTGCATTTAGAAATAATTCATAGAAACTGGTTTCTTTTAAGGCATGATATTTATTTGATAGTTAAAATGAAATAATATTAGACTCCAGTCATGCTTTTAATTTATACAAATGCTGAAATTTGAGTGAAAATTTTAAAATTGTCATCAGGTACCTAATGGAAGTTGTTTCCTGGCAAAATATTCTTAAAGCATTACTGATCCGGTGGTTGTTGTCTGAAAAGGATTTGAGTTCTAATCCGCTTCATCATTGATTTAATTTATATGTCCAAACAAAAATATTTTTCTCTTCAGGTACATAACTGCCTTGACAAAGAACATTTTCAAGAGTAGATTGAACAAGAACGACATGCTGATAATGTTTTTCCTGGCATGCGCTGGGTCAGTTCCTGGAAAAGTTACATTTGATTATACAATACTAAAATTTATGATGAAATTTATCACGGTCAATTATCTTTCTTAACATTTATGTTGATTTTAACTGAAATAATTTTGAAGCTAGTTACTTGTCATTTACTTCGTAATAGATTGTTGAAGCTGGTGCAAGCTGGAAGGATAGTTGAGTTTATCTTGCCCATAGCTGCTGCGGGATGAATGGAAGATACAGAGAAAAGTGTTGCGGCTTGTGCGACGTCAATTTCGAACAAATCTGGATCAATCTAGAACATATTCTTAGACTAGCCGAGCATAATGGTCTACCCATCGAAAAGTGGGTTGCACGCATCGAACTGATCGGAATGCCCTTTTTCGCTATAGTACGGGCAGAATGGACGTATGATCAGTAAGTAAGCCAGTTCATCTCCTGGCATTAGCATGATAGCATTATCTACAATTATTTATTAATTGAACCTCTAGCTTTCAATTATTTATTATTGGAATAAGCTCTTGAAAAATTGTTCAATAGATCTACTCGTAGGTTTGGATAAATACTCAACAAATTGGGAAATTAATTGGGAACAAGATCCAATAATGACATAGGATTCAAATAAACACAAATTAGTAATAAATTTGATGAATGTTGATATTTTATTTTGAAAATTTGAGACTTTGACGGCAACTCCCAAAATATACTGTTTAGCTGGGATGCGGCTCGTTCCAACTTGAATAATTTTAGTTTAATTCATGACAGTGAGACGGAAGATGGTGTGCCGATCTTGTTTCGGTGAGTGTACTCCATTGTTGTCTTGGTGAGTGTTAAAATCCAAAAATGCACGAAAAAGATCAAAACTTTAGTGACGAGAAATCGACAAAGCAACGTAGAAATCTATCGATTTACATTTTCAATGGGATTGGAACTGTACGCGTTGTTGATTCTAGGCGCTTTACTGAGTCAAGGCCCAGATGCTGTCTAACCAGTTCTATTAATAAAGTTATGTGCTCTGCGCATCAGCATACGTCGAAATGACGTTTACACACATGTTTCTGAGCATCGCGGTAAGAGCTTTCGTTCGAACATGTCATTTTCCAGGCTTTCTCACTTGGCTGTGCGCTTCTATAATGAACATTGCGACGTGACTGTGTCTGAGAGCGATTTAGATTTACTCGGTGCCACTTGTTGCCGAACCAAGGATTTTAGAACCGCTGCATATTTTTAAATGGAAGACTTGTCTGAATATTGCGTTTAATTCTTATTCTCTTGATATTGTAACTCGTTAAGTCTTTTGTCGTTTTTTCGTCACTTGGTATTTTTCGTGCATATTTTAGATTTTTGCTGTAGATTTTACTTGTATTCTCAAAAGTTTCAGTTTTTGAACTGCTGCTGGAGCTGGTATACGAAATGTTTCCCCTAATATTTGGTGAATTTACTTAGCGAGAACTCCTGGTGAACTTGCTAGTTTAGCTGGCTGATGACATGAGTACTTGTACTTATACTTATATGAGTACTTATACTTATATGACAAGAACTCTCGTGACATGTGCGTATTGACACTTTCCAGGTTTCCGGCCGACAGTGTCATCTGCGGCAGCATTCTTATCTAGTCCATGCACATGCCACCCAATCCATCAAAATCCACCCAATCCCATTGATTTTCAATGCTTGAAAATCAACGTTGATTTTCAAGCTATTGTGCACTCGCCGGAGTCAGCGTATCGAATTCTGTTATCAGAGCTGACCAGGAACTGCTGTGAAGAGGGGCAGTGCTGGTTCAGGTGGGTTCGTTTAGATGAAAGTGTCTGCCCTGCAATAAATCATTCGATGCGAGGTAGCTTCTCAGCTGATGCATATGTACACATCTACATTACCAGTTACCACTATATATATGATACTCTTCTCAATCATGTTTTAGCCTCATGCTCCGAGCGTCATCATATTATTTTCATTTGTGTGCCTCAGGTCGCCCTTGATGACGGATTTGTGTAGGAATGGCGTGAGAGAAGGACGTTATTTCCTTGTGCTTATGCTGCTCCATCTCGGCGTGCACGAATTATTCCTGCCCACGGAGTAAGTGTCTCGGCCAATAACTGACGTACAATTATGGTAATTGTTGGATTAATATTAGTATAGACCAATAAGTTAAAAATGTCTATGATATTAAAAGTTAATTCTTCTGTCTTCTGGAATAGCGAAACAGAAATTACATGGGAGCGTGATGAAAGGAGTCGGCTCATGTCCTCCATTGTTCACCGTTATGCTCCGAGGTGGAAGCTTCGGACTCCTACGCCTTCTGGGTCTCGTTGCGACGACGAAATGAGGCCGCTTAAATATCGCTATCGTCCAGAAAACCAAGTGGCACTTTTAGATCAAACGGGTACGTTTAAATCAAAGAGCGAGGCAGTTTACTTAGGATTAATGGACCTCCTTCTGAACTTCACTCAAAGAAAGGATTTACTAGAACTTCGGCGTACCTAATTTGTACCTAAATTGGAGTTCCCCAATTTAGGAGGCTGAATTATGGTATCTTTTAAATTATTTGTCCCCGTCTCAATTTATTAATTAGTGCCTTGAGGAGTAATTGATTCACGTGATTAAAAGTTGATCACCTATTACAGAGGCTGGGAGTGCTTACTGATCTGATGTGTTGGTAGTTGGCGATTAAATAAATGCATATGCTTACATGCTTTTGAATAATAATGAATGAACTTATGTGTATGCATCAAGTACATACATTCTAATCGGAAACGCTCGATATTATAATTATTTAATAAAGTTTTATTAGCTTAGCATTAATGAACATTGAATACTGTTGGTGTGTAGCGCCGCTGCGGTCGCTGCAGGAGCTGTGTCGCCTCTCCATCCGCGCCTCCCTCGGCCACTGCAGGATTGAAGAGAAGACGGAAGGCTTGCGAGACGTGTTGCCAGCTCCTCTTAGAGAATACCTTTACTTCCGCCACGACTTCCTCATCTTCCCTAAGAACGACGATAGTTTGTAGGACCGTTGATACTGTGACTCGTGTTGCCTGGGACCGTTGTTACGGTGACTCGTATTGCCTGGGACCGTTGATACGGTGACTCGTGTTGCCTGTGACCGTTGATACGATGACTCGTCTTGCCGGGGACCATTGATACTGTGACTCGTGTGGCTTGGTACCGTTGATACTGTGACTTGTGTTGCCTGGGACCGTTGATACTGTGACTCGTGTTGCCTGGGACCGTTGATACGGTGACTCGTCTTGCCGGGGGCCATTGATATTGTGACTCGTGTGGCTTGGTACCGTTGAAACTGTGACTCGTGTTGCCTGAGACCGTTGATACTGTGACTCGTGTTGCCTGGGACCGTTGATACGGTGACTCGTGTTGCCCGATACCGTTGATACGGTGACTCGTCTTGCCTGGGACCGTTGAGACGGTGATTCGTCTTGCCTGGGACTGTCGATACGGTGACTCGTGTTGCCTGGGACTGTTGATACGGTGACTCGATTTGCCTGGGACCGTTGATCCGGTAACTCGTCTTGCCGTGACCGTTGATACGGTGCATTTCAAGTTGTGATGATTCACTGATACAGCGTTGAACCCAAAATTTATCACTAAATTTATTAAAATTTTATTGCGGCTGATGCGAGATTATTTTTTGGGCTGATGCGAGATTATTTTGGTGACAATAGTGGGACAGAGGCGGACGTCCAGGGAGTGTGCTCAAAGACATGTTAAGGATTCCTTGTCAGACGGGAGTGTAACTTAGACTGTTCTTGTGGTGGTATTGACGCCAAGTGATGTCTTCTTCTGGCATTTTTCAGGATTTTATTAGGCTTTCCATTTCATATCTTTTTCACGTTCTTTTTCTTGTAATTTGTCGTAAACAGCGCAGCAAATTTATTATCTGTTTGTTCTGCATTTTTTCTTGTCCTAGTTTAAATTTTTTTTTATCTCTGGAAATCGCGCAGCTGTCGTTCAATAATGTCACATTGTTGATGGTATTTCTGTTGCCATTAATCATTTAGAAAGGAATAATGTCTACGACAGATAATGTATTCTTAGACAGAGCGTGATATTTTTTGCTACATTTAACCACAAGATCTATAAATCCAGACCCAACCTTTCTTTAACCTGAACTCCTTAATTGCTTACCATACTGTATACTTTTGAATACTATCGCTAGGCTGGTAGTTCAGTTTAATAGGCTAAAAACAAAGTTTAATAGGATAAACGAGTCTTCCGGTGATCTTCATTAAAATCTTCTAAGTTGATTATTGTTACTGCGACTAATAAGCGGCAGGGTGGGTAAGTGGTTACATTTGAGAGTACTAATATTGATGCAGTGTGTTGCGGGTTCGATCCCAGCTTGCTATGACAGTCCTAGTCAAAACAGGCGAGGTGGCCGTATGAGTCATAAAAGCTAGATTTGAGCAATGAGTTTCGGGTCCGAAGCCCAGCAAGCTGCTTGAATTCTGCGATGTCAAGAATTGGCGTAAGGCTATATTTAGCCTAATGAACGCTGTCACTATTGTAATGTAAATTCTCAGCATTGTCACCTCCGTGTTTTATTCTAAGTCATTATCGTTATCGGTAAATTTTAAGGGTTTGTCACCTTCATCGTGCTTGGACCCTGAGTCGTGACCAGCATCGTTTCAAGAATAAGGATCACCGATTTAATGGTCAGCGCGTTCGTTATAGGAATCACAACACGATCGTTCACAACACGATCGTTCTCTGAGTATTTTTCTTACAGGTTTATAGAAATGAAAACAAATATCGCGAACCAATAGATTGTCGTTGTTTCTATCATACCTAATTAAGAATCGTTCATTTCCTTCTTCCTGCGTTAAGCAAGGAGTCAGTCTTGATAGAAAGCTAATATCGAGCTCACTGTGGCGAATAACTGCGGTCACAGCGAATGCGAGCTGCATAATTACGGCCGTCATAACACATGCGAGCTGCATAATTACGGCCGTCATAACATATGTGAGCTGCATAATAACTGCGTTCACGACGAACGCGGGCTGCATTATTCACCTGGACTAGCGGCGACTTCTGGTCTGTGAGAAAAGAACGCTGGCCACGGACACGGGAGCTAAGAATGCTGATGTCGTCTAGTATAAAGAAGGGTGACCCAGGGTTACGTATTTAGCACGGAATTGTGGAATTTTTACTGTAACAAAACCGGAACTTTCTCAAAATAGGAAACGTTAGATTTCTAGTCACTACAGCCCAATCTCAAATTTTCCGTAGTAAGTGCTTCTCACGACTGAGCGCGATATTATAGGCATGTTCTCATAGTTTAGCAGACAAGTTCTGTTAAAGAAAGCGTTCAGTGCTTTGCCCTGGCGCTCTGAGCAGCTGCCGTTAACTCAACACACTCGAGCTTCCTAAACAAAGCATTGATCCTGCCAGAAAAGAAGGGAAGATAAAACAACAGGAATGGTTGTACGTCGTTCCGCTTAGCACTTAGCACAGATTGTCATGCATCTAGAAGAATTCTGGAAAACTTGCGCAAAGGAATTATAACTAAGCTCCTTATCACGCTTACAATTAAGAGGAGCCTTGTCACGTCCCAGCAGCTAACCAAGTTTACAAATTCAATATAATAATATTATAGAAGATTTTATTCCACGAACACGAGTACCTCTAAGAATAAGTGCTTACAAATAGAATCAATAGTTAATGAATACATATTTCTGTGCAGATTTGAAAAACGTCAATTATTTCAACTGAACATAATTTACCTTGGCGGAAATTACATGTATATCAGGTACAAGAAACTTACTCTTACACATGGGAGTAAGGAGGGCGTTATTTACTGTGGCGTTTGCATAGTTTTTGGTACTTCGATTTTCTTCGCTACCAAGATCAATAAGGTTATTGGGCCAAAGAAAAATAATTGATAATATTATAAATTAAATTATAATAAATATAATTTACTTCTTCATATTTGTGCAATCAATTATTAAAATTGTTCAAATGTCCATCATCAAAGTGACCAAAATCATAAATTCAAAAACACTTGATAGTTAGATTGGCAAGTCAATATACATTAAAACGCTTTTCATAGCTGACAGCAGCGAAGTTGCCACTAGAAGGTCGAAATTTATAATTTTGTTCTTCAAAGTTAAAGTACTAAAAATTATTTCAACGCTACGCAATACAAGTATCCAAGTGACTTCGACCTTGACAGTTATCAGAGATTAACAGAAAATATTCAGGTCATAAAATTACACGTGAAGATAGTTGAACATCTGTAAATACTTTCCACGAGTAAATTGCTTCTGAAAGCAAATAAATGGTGTTCACCGCCTGCGCCTCAATGAAGCTCAGCTGGTGCGGTAGAACGTACTTCCCGATCTAAAGGAGAACGAGTCATTCCTTACATTCACTATTAACAAAGGCACCATCGTTTTACTAAGAGATATAATGCAATTTAAAAATCTGTCGGGCCTTGTTCAATGCCAACTTAGATAAAATATTTACCACGAAGTCTTACTACTACAAGGTTCCAGCATATTACCAACGAAAATCACCGTATTGTATTTTTATTGACGTTTTTTAGCTCAAGCGTATACAAAAAATATAAATCAAGATGAACTACTAATAAAAGTCCACGACAAATGATACGCAAATTTAGTTTGGTTTAGCGTTCCCTAGTTCATAAATCATGCATATATTTGTCATTCTTAGCGAGAGAATAGGAAAGGATTGGCGGAAAGTGGTGGAATGATTGGATCAAAATTGGATTAAATTCTACAAATGGTAAATATGAAGTTAACTGAAAAGACGCAAAAAACATTTTTTTCCATACCTTGAAACAGGAGTAAATTGAGAGTTTTATCTTCTATATAAAATGTGGGTTTTAATTGTATTCACTTAATTAGAATACATAAGATTGGTTGTTGTTATCGAGATATGGATTACGGGAATGACGGAATTTGGAATAACAGGATTCCAACATTGCAGGAACTATCAGGCCCAGGCAGCGCTGAGCTAACCTGCTAGTAGACGATAAATGAAACTCGGAAACAAGATCCTGCGCAGTATGTACGCACTGAGCAACTATCCTGAAGATATTGTTGACGCTCCGAGTATGAACGCGTTCAAGAACAGACTAGACAAGGCCATGCATGAGCATATGTTCAGTCTTAAAATGCCTCGTACCCTACAGAACATCTGATATCCAGAAGCGATTTTAAATCTACCGTCCGTAAAGCCAGTCTAGTCAAGAAAAGTACAAGAATCAGCGACAGGCCTATCCAGGCCTATTTATTTAATGCCGAAGATACTACATATACTATACTAGTATAGGAGCATGGAACTAACGTGCATAGGAGTTAAGGAACTAAGGAGCATGGAAGTTAAGGAACTAAGGAGCATGAGGAACTAAGGAGCATGGAACTAACAAGAATAGGAGCATGGACAAGATGCATATGTAATCTGCCATAAGAGAAAGTGAAACTTATTAATTTTATGCATCCCAGCCCTAGGACTATAAGATAAAGAATTTGATTAAATATGAACAAGCATTAATTAGCAAGCAGAAAAACAGTAATAATCAAGAACCTTAATAATGACTTCTTAGAGCAACTGTGTTGCCAATGGATGCAGAAAAAGTAATCAAGCAAACTTATATTGCAGCAAACAGCTTAATGAATAATTAGTGAACACCAAAATATATAGCTTGCAGAATTGAAACACACTGAACACAATAGAAAATCAGAAAACAAAGCAAAATCACAAAAATATAAACCATTTGTAATATAACATCAATTGAGCAATAAAATGAATGTATGCAATGAATAATCACTCACTTCCTCTCAAGTGGTGAGTTAGCTTAGGGTCCCATACTGGTGCAGTTATTCATTGGAATTTTGCATTAGGATTATGCTTGGCTTTGGAATTTACTTAACATTAAACATTTTACATCCTTGTCTGGACTAGAGACAAAGCAGAAGAAAGAAAAATTACATTAACAGTTACATAATGAGACAAGACAGCACAGACATTAAATAAACGAGCATGATAGCCAAAGGGTTAGGCTAAAAAGCAATACAGCTCTCCCTGCAACAATGTTGCCTTACTTTGAAGTCTGGCTAGGCCAAATGCTATTACATTGTAGTGATAAAGCAAAGTAATTAGTGATTTTTACCAACATTTTGCAGAAAACTGATGAGAAAATACTTAAAATTGGGTTATTTACTTTGGTAATTTATTTATTTTATGCTGTCTCCATAAATTGACTTCCAACATGAGTTGAAGAGATTTGCCTTTATTCCAATTGCCTTCAAAAGCAGCAGAGGCTGAAATGCAAGCTCTGTGAGAAAATATAGTTATTACTTTTTTCCGACAGATGACTGTCAGTGTAGTTGATATCCATGTGAGTGATGCATATGTTGAATCCTGCTTCATTTGCTAAGCAATTTTCTGATAATCTCCAATGTTCCATTATAATATACAATTTCCATTATATTACGCATTAACCACTATCATGGTATCCATTTTCCACATTAATTTTATAGCATTGTTGTACATATCAATTGTTTTCCCATTCGCCATATAGACCACAGATTGCCTTGTATGGAGAAGTGTAATTGATGACTCTGCTGTCCACCTTGTTTGTTCAAGCAAACACATTTGAGGGCTTGCCTTGCTGAGAGTCTTGGAACCTCCAGTTCATGATCCTAGGAAAAGTGTGAACACATATTGCTGTAAAATGCCTACACATAAAATTGAACTATAATTTTGATTTTTATTTCAAATAATTTTAATTCTAAAGAAATCCTCAGATGTATGTGAAAAAATTTAAATACCTTGTTTGCCTTTATTGCTATCATTTTAATTTTTATTATGTATTAAGTACAGGAAGAGAGTACAATCAGTACATACTGCACCTTCCTCCATTTTTTATAAATGATGAATTATATTATAATTTCATACTTACTTGCTGAAATAAAGTATTTTTCACATATTTATTTTACCTAGTTATCATCATTAGAGAAATTTATCTGTGAAAACAATGAGGAATCTATTTGCCCTTTGTACAGCCTTGACAAAAGCCGGTTGAAGTAAGTTAATTAGACATGTCTGTTCAACTTGTCATAGCAT